ATATATATATATATATATATATATATATATATATGTGAGAGAGAGAGCGAGAGAGCGTGTGTGTTTCTCTGTACATTGAAAATGCTTTCTTTCCTGCATTTCATTCTTCTAACTATTAGCCAGTTCACAATGAAAAGCAGAAATTAACATGATGGGACAGGAGGAGAAAGAGGAAGAGGCACAGCAGCACCATGCCTGTCTTATGAAGTACTGAAGAATGAGCAATGTTGCAAAATCCTATAATCTGAAAAACGTATTTGGTTCTTCAATGACTGATAGCAGGAAGACTCACTGGATCCTCAGATGTTCATTTTATTCCAAAATTTTGTATCTTGCCTTTGCAGAGGAGCTGAAGGAAAAATGTGCAATGCTCTTCCCTCATAATCTCAGTTTGGCTGAGATAAAGCAGTTAGCTATAAATTCCCCAGTGACTTTCTATGACCGATAGTGGAGTAGAATCTAGTCTCCCCAGTGCTGCACCAACACCTTCATCACCAGGCCAGCCTGGCTCTCTTGTGGTGTTGAGATAAGTGAAGTGAGTCCATGGATAAGAGAGGAGGTGTTTATGCATGGATTATGCTGTTTTTGAAATACCCATGTGGTAAAACGGCAGTGAGGCTGGAACTTTTGAGCTTTGGGGTGGAGATTGAATAACATGGTTTATGTTGCTTGCTTGCAGGTTTCCGCGAAAGTGCTTTTGTCTATGCAATTGCGGCTGCAGGAGTGGTACATGCGGTCTCCAATGCCTGCTCCTTGGGCAAACTGCAAGCCTGTGGCTGTGACCAGAAGCGTCGAGGGGATGAAGAGGCTTTCCGTCGCAAACTTAACCGCCTCCAACTGGACGCCATGAACCGTGGCAAGGGAATGATGCATGGCGTCCACTTGGAGCACCTTCCAGCTGAGCCCCCTGGCCTACAAGACTCCTGGGAGTGGGGGGGTTGCAGCCCTGATGTAGACTTTGGGGAGAAATTTTCAAAGGAATTCCTAGATTCCCGGGAAAGCCATCGTGACCTCCCATCCCGCATGAGGCTTCACAACAACCGTGTTGGCCGGCAGGTGAGTAAAAAAAGCATATTGATATAATAAGGAGACAAGGCTTTCAGTTTGTCAAAATCCTCCTGTCGTTGTTAGTTGCAAAGTTGTATCCGAACCATTGCGACCACATGGACAACATTCCTCCAGGCCTCTCTGTCCTCTACCATCCTCTGGAGTCCATTTAAGCTCACGCCTACTGCTTCAGTGTTTCCACCCAGCCACCTCAATCTCTGTCATTCCCTTCATTTGCCCTCAATCTTTCCCAGCATTAGGCTCTTCTCCGGTGAGTCCTTCCTTCTCATTAGGTGGCCAAAGTACTTGAGTTTCATCTTCAGGA